CAAAGTGTGTCGTAACTTCCTCTCTCTCACTTTAATATAAGTTTGGGCTTGTCACCTACCCGTCTAGGTTTTGATCAATGACGAGTACCAGAAGGACGACACTGGTGTATGATGCAGTTTAATTCATTGTTTAATTCTACGGTTTCTAACTCTGAATTTGTATTGAAATGTAATACGCTCGTGTGTTTTTTGTACAATCTTCAAACTTTGAATTCTTGATCTCTTGGATAAAATACACAGGAGGGTACACCAACTTAAAGGTTTGGGGATACTCTCCTAGTTAGCAACAAACCAGAAATGTAATGCACTTTGGTATAACAATGCTTAATATTGCACCTCCGGTGTAAAGATTTCTCAATTAGGCCGAAATATTCAGAATAAATAGACGTAGTCACAACAACTGCGAATAACGGATAACTTTATAAAACTCCCAATGTCTTATAGATAGACAACAAATCTATGCTATTTCTCGATAAATAGCTTGTATTGATAGGTTTAAGTCTCGTCACTTTTTCTCTATAGTCGTAACTGTAAGTAAGGGAACAGTGAGAATGTATTGGGTGTAATTGTGTTGGTTTCACTCAGGTCCGATCTTGTCTGTTTCATAATGTAACTACTAATGATACCAGCCAAGCTAGGGAACAGTCGGGATGTATCGGCGGTGTAGTTGTATTGATATCACTCAGGTTGTCTGTTTCATAATGTAACTACCAGAAAAGATCAATACAAGTAAAAATTTACAATTCTAGTTTGCATAGCTACATTATATTGTTACTGAAAGACAAAAACTATCATCGACCTTCGTCCTTGTGACATAATCCGCCTTTTAGAAACATTAAGTACTCCCAGACGGGAGCCATGCTGACGACAGTAGCCGGTTAGTTCCTATTATTACAGAACAATTTTCCGGTTCATTGTACATACAGCTGCTATAAAAATGTATAATATCACCTAAATGCAATGAACCCAAACCAGCGTATCTACCATGGCAACTATATATCATTCACGTGCATGCACGTACTACAGCGCGTACAAGATAACATATGTTACTATCAGATAATCAAGTATATAAAAAACAAACACGGGTTACGGGGCACAGATTTCTAAAAAAAAGTGAACAAAGTTATCAATCTCTTTCAGGTAAAACACCGGGGCGGCTTCCCGCACCGCGGATCGATAGGCTTTACCTATATCATAGTTTTCAACAAAGGAAACTGCTAGGAAACAGGACCCAGATATGATGACAATGACATAATGATAAATCCCTCTAATTATTAGTAGACCTTGATCGATGTGTCATGCCACCATGTGTTTTTTACATACGAGAAAAAAACGAAGAACGAGATAGTTCGCTTCATCATAAAAGTATTATAACCTAAAATACGATACAATTGTAACGTTCTGTCTAATGTCAGAACCACAACCCTCCTCCCTTCATGCATCGGAACGTTAACTAGTTTGTGTGACTTGTGACCTGGGTGATCGTGTTCGATCTTTCTGTGACCTTCTGTATTTCTGTGTGATCTTTCCCATTTTAGCTACTCTTAATGGACTTTCGTGTGATTTTATGGCCATATTTGACATTTGTGTGATCTTGATCGATGTTTGACCTTTGCATGACACTTGTGTCCTTGTTTGACCTTTGAATTAACATATTTGATTTCTGTTTGTCCATGTATAGTTCCTGCATGACTTTGGATGTTGTTGCTTCACCCAAGTACCCTCATGGATTGCAAGGTTCTGTTTGACATTTTGTATTCATACTTTAGAAAAAGTTGCTCTGTTAGAATATCCCAAGTACATAGAAATAGTGTTATCTTATTAAGCATCGTTACCAATATGGAAAATTGAATAATAGAACAACAAAAAAACATTCTCACGTAATCTGATATTCAGAGTGACATTTAACAATAACATGCCATTCCGTTCGACGCCTGCCGTTAGTAATTCTTGCGATGTGCCATTATACTTGTCACCTCCCTCTCATGACCCCATCCATCCTAATGCATGAGTCGCGCCTCCCGAACTATAGCATTAAGTTTGGGTGTCGGCTAACCTTTTTACTTATACAAACAATCAGGCAGATCTCTTCGGTAGCCAACCTATATCATTGGTAACCCCATGCAAGTGCTTACATACAAAAATAACGGAATGTGCTCGGATATACCAGATGTTACACGATGGTATCTTTATACTTTTGGATCAAACGAGTACCCAAAAAGAAACTATATGTCCGGTTAATCGGAATAGTCTTCAAGTTTTGCATTTATTTAGAAATCAGCAAAATAGCATCATATTCATTTCTAATCAATATTTTGAAACTTGAACACAAAAAAAAAAAATTTCAAATTATTTATAAGTGTTCTTAATTATAGGTTATATATGTCAAATTAGAGAAATAAGCAATTACGTTCCTTGTTTATAGAAATACTTGTTAGATGTTTGATGTTTTGACAATCATTCTAAACTACTTTCAAATATATATATATAACTTTTGTAAGTGATATATATGTATGTTAGAGTAGCTGTTAGGCGACTTTGGGAATGATTTTCTATACAACACAATATATGTACAGTGTACAAATGTCGTCATAGCGTTTCAGATTTTATATCCATGTATGGTATAACACATTCTCATAAGACACGTGTCTTTCAAATGTTTAGAGCCGGGTTTTAAGGTCAGAGGAAAGTCATGCCGGAGGTAGAGTGACGCTCACCCATAAAACGTAAAATTAGAAAAATCAACATATGTTTTCCTTTATCACTGTGTGTATGAATACGTCTGTAGGAGTTATTGGTAGTGTTCTGGTTCGCTGAGACAGAAGGAAAGCCTACAAAGATGTACTCTAGTGATCAGTTTCCAAAGCAAACGGGCTGTTCATCTCTATGAAATACGAAAATATAAATATTTTGACTGCCGAGACATGACTTACAACACAACTGTATATAAATCAAGCCTAGAAATCGTAACATCGGTCCCCTACTGCCAGTCCTTACCCCCAATAGTACACATGCGTATTTAGTTCAACATGTCTGGGCAAGAATTATGTCTTAAGTTCATAGAAAATGTCAATTTGGTACTTATTCTTTAATGTTGAATTTGTGAAGAGATGATATTCGGACAGCCCACCAGCAGCATGATAAACGAACCTTTGTCAGTAAGTTTCATTTTTTTGCATGCTATTCGCTCATTTACATCTAGTGACATTTTAAAGCGGAATTCTCCTGGTGTCTACTTCGCTGAACAACAGACGGGAGGTACACCACATCCTATCCACAGCAATCGGGGTAAAGTATCCTCTTAAAGGGTAAAACGTTCGGGACGGCGTGCTTCACAGCTTCCAAATAAACACAAGCAGCCCCTGGTAGGGATAGCATCACATACCTCGAGCCTTCACCACAGATTGCATCCACCGGTACACCACCGACGAAGCTTCCACTGTGTCTACTTACTGTACATGTACATCATACGGAGTAAAACGTGAGTTTAATTTGAAGAATTTTATCATCGCTGTAATGGTGACAATCTTTTGTCCATGTAGCACATTAAATATTTCAGCATAGAAAACATACATTATAGATCCACGTGAAGTGGATAAGTAAAGAAATAAAAAGAAACTAACATCTGATTTCAGCATAATTGTATCTATGTTAAATTTCAATTCAATGCTTTGTAGGGTTATATAAAGTACGGCAGTAGACATATGGTTAAGCAGAAAAAATCTTTTAAGACTGCCATAAATTACGATAACGATAAGCGATTTATAGATTGTTTTTGGTGGGGCTTTTTGTGACATATGAAAAAAATCACGCAGGGCATATTAGCGTGACCGGGGACAGACAGGGAGGCTCTGTCATAATCGCATGGTTTGTTAGTTGTGCAGCATGTCGCTGGAATGTGTGGCCTCCAGTCGCAACCACGGCGTGGAATAGGCAACATTTATTTTTCCAAGTTACAAAAAAAGTTCTATATTCCAAAATTGTTGATTTTTGCTTTTTCCTATTAAATATCGAACCAGCAAACAAAGAGGTTTAGTTTTTTTCAGAAAATAAAATGAAGACATAGTATTTAAAATGGGAAGTTGGTATATTCCATGTGTGAAAATCAGAAGAATTACAGTTTAATGGTACAAGTTTGAAATAAAGATCTACAAACTGAAGCTGTGCTTTAATACAAAACATTTTATACAGCGAAATGGTCATGATTTCAGTTTGATTGCAAAATAAAGTTTTATATTCCACTTCGATGTAATTGAATGTACGAGAATATCTCTTTATCTAAAGAATATATATGTATAAGAAAATCAGGAAATACACATCATGATATGAAATTTGAATTAAACAAAAATATTAAACCACAACTGAGAATATGAAATAGTTGTCCTATAACTAGCGGTTTCATTGTAGCGTGTGCAATAGACTTTGTAACGAACAACAGGCAAAACGAAATGTACAATACGTTAAAGTTGTGTTTTAATGACTAACAGTTGAGATGTTTATATCACGTTAACTAGATATTTATACAAACAAAAATATCACAATATTCTTGTTTGACGTCACAAGTTTAACAAACTGTTTACTTCTGATTATTCGTGTTTCCTGTTCTCTATAATCCAACTTGACATATACTTGATTGATATGGAAATGAAACCATGGAAGCATTGTTAATCTTATCGAGGTTGTGATCGATCACTTTGAAACTACCGCTTCATACAGACATATACTAGGAATGTTTTAATATTCAAACATGCTTAACTCATTCTGAGGAAAAAGATACATTTGTTCAACTCTGTTTCCATGAACACAATATTAAAAAATGTTGATAGTCAAGTATCTGGACAAATAAATGCAAATATTTTTCAAAATACATTTAGAAAAACCGAAATATTTTGGTGAAATTTACACAGATTTATAAATATTAGTATGACTCAAGAACTTTCTAACAGAAAGCAAAACTGACAAACACCAATCTCATTTCAGTAATGTGTAGTTTTACTTACCAGTTCCAAAGACAATCTAAGTGAATAGTAAAAACCATCCTACGTCCCAAAGAAAACAGAATCACAGACGAAAGTCGGAGAAATTTCAATAATCCACACACATAGATTTAACGGAAAGTTGTTTCGTACTTAATCCACGATGTGTATAAACTCCATGAGGACTATTACCGGGGAGAGTTGAGAGGAGGTGTAACAAAGGAGGAGTCTCAACTATTGGCCTACTTCACATGTTACCCTCCGTGATCGTATCTGATATTCTATAACTGTGTCGGTACCGTTAACTCTCGCGTATTTCATACATACACAACGAGATCATAAACAAACATACACACGGCTCTCAATGGGGCCGATACCTATTGCTCGTAGCATGTCGAGAGATTCTCCACTAGAACTCGGAAAACAGTATTAATTATTATATAATTAGGTGATAGATGCGGCTAGAGCTGTGGGATAATTCTTATGTAATTCTGGTGTCTACTTTTTATGTGCCATAGAACAAAGGTAACGAGAGAACATTAACTTTGGCTTCTAGTAACATCATTATCATCAGTAATTACTAATTGAGATATCTCTGTAATTATACCTACATTTTTTCCAAGTGATTATTAATTTGGAAAAAAAAAACATTATTGGCAAATATTTCATTTTATTCATTAAATATCCAGGTGTGTATACCATTATGATTTTACCGTTTCGCCTCTCATACAGTGTACTTATAAGGGTTACTTTTGCGGAGGAGTCAACAAAATCGTTCAATGATAAAATTACATGAGCCAATATCACCACACTCGTTTTGCGGTTAAAGTGTGAAAAATCAATGTGGTTGAGAAAACTACCAAACAAAAACCAACAAACCCAGGCTCACTGGAGCTTTCTGTATAAGAATGTGAAAAGGGGTTTAGATTTTAGTGTAACAATCGAATGTGATAATGAAAAAAATATTCTGTCATGTTTACTTGTTCGCGAAATTGTCTTCAGGAAGTAAAAATATACATTTTGTACATTGCACTGAATTCATTCAAGGTTATTGCAAGACACTAAACGAAGGGGAAACTGTCTTTGGTCTCTTGTAGTATGACAACACATTTTTCACCGTACATACACTGACTTCGATTGACCAGACGTAGATCTGTTGTCGTTAGAAAACCATAAACCTATGATAGGTAATTGACCTTGTTCATGTAAATCATTTCCTACACGGAAAATCAGCCGGCAGGTGGGGATTCCTAACATCTAGCCTCAATTCACTGCGTGTTGGACATTCTCAGCTCCCATCGGCTGGTATGCTTATCGCTATACCGAATGTAACTAAGGGCAGTAACTCTGGGAAATCAGAATTCGTGTTGGAATGCGGTCAAAACAGTATTTACGTGTTGACCATATCCACGCTTTCTGAACTAATATTTCAGCCGCGTTAAATACGATCCCGTTAGAAGCTCAATTGGTTAACTACAAGCGCGTAAATCATAAAGATAACGGGGTTCTTAAGTTAGAGACAAACAAGTTCCCTGCGAACGCGGTAAACAAGTAGAAAACAAATGCGTTAACGCGAATGAGTTATAGTGGCAGCTCAACGCGTTAATCTTCTTCTACAAAGGCATATCAGAATATATCTAATGGGGTAAACGTAATCGCGTTAAAGGCGTGCAATGCGCCTGTGCTGAGCATTGTTAATTAACAATTACAAGGTAAATTACAAACCTACAGCTGCAGGTAAAATGCGGGAAAACAATAGTCCGATCACAATGGGTTATCGTTAAAACGTTGGTTGCGTAAAACATAACATCATCTCACGACATAAATGATTTCCTAAGTAAACCCTGTAGGAAAGGTCATGTACATAGATAGATAGGGACACAAACGTCAGTAGGTTTTACTGTCACACCTGGTAATGGAGAGAATCACCTGTAATTTAGAGAGTTTAGTATCGTGTTGTTAGGTATAAAATAAATAGAAACACGTGCAGCATATTAACGTCGGCAGAACGTTCGTCGGGGAAACAACGCCTAGCGAAAGAAAACCCAATCAATTAGCCAACACATTACACCCATGGGGCGGGGAGGGGGGCGTGACGGAAGATATTGAACCGGAACTCATCCTGTTCCGGATACGGATTACAGAGATATCGGATTACTGCATGTAATACACATTAAAAAATCATCACACTCCGGAATATCCCTTTAGAGATAGGGATAGGAAACATATTATATCCCAGGCATTATCGTAAGGATGTTGACAGAATCAGAATTCAGTGTTAAATTTTCGTTTAATTGGTATTGATTGCTGTAAATAATTACCAGCCTATTCTAGAGCAGCAGAGATGGTATTATGAAATTACACCAGATTTGTTAGATAAGATGGATGATGTAAAAATCTAGTAGAATATTTAGAAGATGACAAAACGATACACACAATTAAGTCTCTAGGTAAACGATTTTACAGTATCGATAGTTTGGAGATATTAATTATCCAGACATATTACGAGGAGGTTGTTTAATTCAGGACGTCCAACTTGTTTTCATAACAAAAATCACAACTGTATAAGTTCACACTATCTAGAGGCGTGTAACTTTATCCTTGTATACTTACACTTTGGTGACTTCCGCCAGTCTCCTGAATAATGGACACAGACCTCTAGGAAACGATGAATGTATTCCCAAAGTTTAACAAACAACGTCACAATCGACAAAATTAGACGGACACAAGGAGCCAGCGTCAGCCCGTTGCCGATCAATGCATTATTGAAAATAAACAAACGAGTAAGCTTCAAATGTTTGTTTTGGTATCTATTATGTATTGTTACACAGAAATCCGTATCTTTTGATGAGGTGTATTTCGTCGCAACATCTTGTTCGGTTTCAGGTACTCTGCAATACCGTTAATAAATCTGACATAGCCAGACACATTTTAGTATTGACTGCCCAATCAAATTTGGCGAATCAAATAGAATCAAAATGTCGCCAAGTTTTGATTCAGTTTCCGATGGGTGGAGTTTCTGGCAATACCTAACCATAAATAAGCACGTGCATATGAATGACGTCACAAACGAGAGCCCGGCTAATATATCTCGGAATAATATCCTGAATAATTACTTCTACAAAAGTCATTTCTTATTCCTTATACTCCCTTTCCAATTTCTAAATGATCAAACATTGCAAAAATATTTTGTTTGAAATAAACACTCCCTGTAAATTAGTTCGAGGTGTTTATGGCTAGACACTGGCATCAATATACATATTTACATCAAAAACATCGGAAGAACTTCAGGTCTTAGCCAAATTATGATCATAATACTATGTAGCAAGAATTTTTCTCTTTGTGAAAAGGAACACCCAGCCAAATAAACAATAATTCTGTGCACATGCGTTGTACAGTAACAAAGGTACACCTTAAATGGCATGTTCATTTCTCCCCTTTATATGATAAGTTAAGAAATACGATATCTACAACAGAAATTTGTCCTCAAGGAAAAATTTCGAATTTTGATATTTTCCAAACGAGGCCATGCGTGTACAAGAAGCCCCAAGTCGTGTTCTTCTACCCCCCAGCAGGTTCCACTGACTGACTGTGTGGAGCATACCATGAGGCGCTCGCTTCAGACGTGAAAGGATGGTGTGACATTTTGTTATGTCTGGATTCTGATGTCACTGATATTGTGACGTTAGTAGCATTCAATGGAATCTATTTTCGCTAATTTCGTGTGTACATTTTATTGCACGCTTTCATGTCCAGTATTCAATTAACTCTTACAAATTGGTCATAGGGTCCGTGTTGGGTTTTCTTTTTCTAAAATACCACGAATTTTCAGCGCCCCACAAAAATATGTATGATGTTACATTATATTACTGAATACTGATATTATCAAACTGTTAATGGCACTCGAAACCTAACAAATTTCTAAGCATCACTTGTATCAACGCATTGCATAAATCATTCCATATTTCAGAATTCTTACATACTTTTTAATGCAAAACAAAGACAAATTTTACTCCTGTGTTGACCTGGCATTCAGCTCAAGGTTAACGGCACCATATATCGACTAGTTTGCAGGAAAAAAAATTAAGCCACGACTGTGGCTTCCTCAAATAAAGTTGTACTGACGTTAAAGTGTTGAACATTCTTATCGCCGTACTATCGTCAGGCGCGACGTGTTAACTTTGTCTACAGATCATTCACATTGGTGAAACTATCTTATTATGCTTTATACATTTGCACTTGCAGGAAATGTGTTGGTTGAACGAGACAGATTTGTTATAAAAGAAATACCATATTTCTTCCTGAGAATGAGTGGTAATCTGGCACATGTTTGTTAAATCAGCTATATCATCTTCTTAACCCTTCCGAGCCGATGTAAATCAGCAAAGAGCACGTCTCGCCAGACACATTTTTATTAACAAAAACGAAAATCTGGTGATACGACAAAAAGCAGGTTTAAAGTTTAAATCTGTACCGCTTTCGTTTTTGATAATGCCCCTGTATCACACTTTGTAGTACTCTTATCACACATAAACCTCCATACAGACATTTTTTATATATCGCGGAGTTATTTCAAAAGGTGAAGGCCGTTCAGTAGACATGCCTTAGAAAAGGATTTATATTCCATGTGCTCGTTTTAGTAACAAGACATGTTCACAAAAATGTGCATGTCTGTGCTGTATTTGGCCTGAAGTGGTATTTGCAATATGTGTACTCAAGCTTACTTCTCTATACCCCATTAACATCACATAACGTCACGTGCAGAATACATTTTGCTGTGCTTAATACCTTTCACACAAGTATGAGCAATTCACTTATCAACCTCCTCCTTCACGTCGTTGTTGTTTGTCTATCCCTCCTCCCTTCCTTTATCTCCTGATCTTCCTTATATTTGTTGCCGTCTTTTGTCGGTATCACCCCTCTTTCCCCTCCTCCTCGTCGTTGTCCTCATCCCTCCTCTTCATCTTCGTCGTATATGCAATCGGTATCCCCTTCCCAGCTTGTTAATCCTTATTGTTGAAGTCGTTGGTCTCCACATCCTTCCTCCTCCTCTTCCTCGTCGTCGTTTCCGTCAGTACCTCCCTCCCCTCCTCCCCCTCCTCACCCTCCTCCTCACAGTTGTCGTAGTCGTCGATCTCATCATCATCGTCGTCGCGTCGTCATTGTTGACGCCAACGTCGTCGGTATCCCCTCCCATCCTTCCTGTCCTCATCGTTATTGTTGTTGTCGTCGTTGGCTTTCCTCTCCTCCTTCTCTTCCTTGTCGTTATCGTCGTCGGCGGCGGCAGTC